TTTCTTGATTACACGAATAAACATGAAGATGTCTGTCATAATTGTATTATGTACATAGAACTAATTTCCATTTGAGGAATATGAAATTATGACGCATGTTGGAATATGTTTTCAAACATCTTAAAACTTTTTAACATAACAATTTTGAAAATGACAATTTAATCGTCTTGCAACGTTGGATCTTCTTCATAATAACGAAACAGTCTACGGCGATTCAATTACAGAAGAGAAATTGGAATGAGATTTGCTACAGCAAGAGGATCGTAAATCGCGTTATTGTTGATATATGCAACCTGATGGATATTATGCAATCACAATTCATCGCTAATTATATTACATATTATATACACCGTTAATCTTGCCGACGATTAGTTTCCACTAGGAATCATCCTGAAAGGAATTTATTGCATCAATAAACGTTTCACATGTAATTTTCAGTTTGAGAAAAAGGCAATAAGGCCTAAAAAGCATTTCGAGAGGCTGTGTCAAGCGTTGTGATCATGACTCATTCCTCACGAAAAATTACACTCTCTTTTCACGCTTAGGATAAGCGCAAAACTTATGCAATTTTATATTTTTATCCGTTGCATCACGAGCAACTGTTATTCGCCCAGGGAATGCCAAGTATGGGACGAGACGCTTCCTCATATTACGCATGCCAGTAATCTCTACTGCTGTGTAACAGGAACATTCGGCGAAACAGATTAATTTCGCCTTTGTTTTTCTTCTATTGCTACAATCAGAATGAAAAAGGATTTGGAGAATCAAACGCGAATTAAAATCTCCTTTACTTCCTTGATATGTGACGCTACTTCAAATTAATTTATAATCTATTGACAATGCATTAGTATAATATTTACTGGCAATCTGAAAATGCAGGTACTCTAGTAGGCAGGCTGGTTTTAATGTTCCGATGAAACTTCATCGTTTTCAATGTCGCGCAAACAATTCCAGGAAGCGATATATTTATGCGTTATTTATTTATATATCGATCAACATAGCAATCTGTACGGGCTCCTCGAAAACTCTTCTGAAATATAACATTAAAATTAACGGAAGACCTCGTCATAAGAAGAATCATTGACTGGTTCAGCTTATGGAAAAGATAAAAAATAATGAAAAGAAGAGGACAAAGTAGAAATGCAATTCCTAGGAAGCAACATTGCATTAATGGAGAAACATGAACTGCCAGCATTCTTTCTTTAATCGGACACCATTTTGAAGTAATCCGTAAAGCAAAATAAATGACAAATAGGGGTAGAGATTATTGAGTAAAAGTAATGATTTTTGAAAAGCAAAAGAAAAAACGCAATGCAAAAAATTACATTGCATATATTAAACATTTTAACTTATTCTGATTATAAAGTTAAATGTTATTTGATTTTATTTTAAATCAATATTGTATTTTGCTTCTTATTAAATTATTGGATTTTGATATTTAATTATTGAATGATTTATTTATTGATTTAAAAAAATCTGCATAGTTTATAATTTTTTTTTTCGTGATATCTGTAAATGAGAATTTCTGAGAATTATAACTTTATATTTATTAATTTTCGTATTATATTTTATGTAAAAAATAATTTCAGAAAAGTTATCTGTTAATTTAATGCTCAGAATTAATTTATACTTTATTCTATTATAACAACCTGAAAAATATATGCTGCAAAAATATATATGAGGAGATATATTCACGGATTGCATTCTACGTATTTACAAGAATATCTTTGTAGGCAAAGATCTTTAGGATTACGAATGCTTGGGATGCTCTTTCTTCTCAGCGACTTCTTCGGTGGGATACATGCCGAAACGATTTATATTCTAAGTGATAAATATTTATCACTTGAGAAATCGCACTCACGATGGAATCGCTGTCTGTGCCAAGATTTAGCATTAAGTGTTTCGGCTTAAGAATTTCACAAAGATTAGATCCCACCGTCGTACGTTTGCCGTCGTACGCTCATTAAATGACGCGCGTTTTCTTCCTTTTAAGATGAGATCATAAAGATGGAGAAAAAGAAAAAAAGCGCGTCAACCAACGGAAAACCCGGCGGCGCCAAGCGCAATCGCGGTGCCGGACGAGGCCGGGGTGGATTTAGAGGAAGAGGTGCGAGAATCAAGCGCAATGTCGGGGCCACTCTGAAGAAGCAGCAGCAACAGACCTGGCAACGTAATGCGAGTACAGCAAACAACGCTCGCGGCGGTTTTGCTCGGAATCGCTTTAAGAGAAATGGCAATCTCACGAGATCACGTAGTAACTTGAGCTTGAATTATAAGCCAAACAATGTGAGAGGAGGCGCGTTCAATGTGCGTCGTGGCAGAGGCAACAGATTCGGCCTAACTCGCAGCCGGAGTCGTACAAACCTGACGTTCAATCAGGGCGGCTTCTTCACAAACAATAAGAGCCCGCTGAAACGAACGAACAGCTTGCCCAATCTGCGAGATCCGAATTCTGTTCACAATCGCCTGGGCTATCAGAGCCCCGCTCAGATTGCCTATCGAAATCGTGTGAAACGAGCGAAGCAGCTGTTGTTGCAGAGGCAGAATCAGAGACTGAACTTGCAGAATCAATTTAGAGTGAGTGGAATACTCGGACATGCATATGACAAATATTCTACATGCGAAAATTATTCATTACACACTGACGATGCGTGTATAAATTGTTACAGATGGCACAACCCGGCCAGAAGACCGTGTTACTTTCGATGCAGCCAAGAACTTTGGGAAGGCAACAGATACTAACATCGCAACGGCGTTTCACAACTGGTGGATTGCGATCCGATCAGATCGCTCGTGCACAAAGACGGGCGCAATACGAACAGAAACTTCTACGAATGAAGTAGATGATACTTTGTTATATTTGTTGCGTCAAATTAATTCATTAGGCTGACTACTCTTTCATATTAGTATATAATTGAGAAGTATAAACTTTTTGTTTAGCTTTATAAATACAGATTTATTAATAGTTTTATTGATGCTAAAAACGATAACTAATTTTGTCCTTTTTGAAAGACAGAATATTTAAAATATGATATGTTGTAGCCCTTCCCGGTTGAGCTCTACGCCGAACGTCAATTTCATGTGCACATTGGGAAACGAATATATACCCACCACTACACGCCAGCGACCACTCACCCTCGCACAGAACCGACCTACAACTATTACTAACCCGCGGCAAATGCCCAGAGGACGATCGCCGTTCAGGCAAAACGCACAGTCTTTAAATATGGTATACAATTTTCAGTTAAGATTTCTCTAAAGTGTATATGTTTCATTCTTTTTTTTTTTTTATTTTAACTTTAAGTTTCATGTAATTTTTTACGCGATTCTGTTTTAAATTCTTGTAATTTGGGTTCTGATTCAAATTTTTTTAGATCGCAATTAATATTTAGAGGTTAAAGAAGAGTTGCTTTTTGTAGAAAAAGATATACAGATTAAAAGATAAAGAAAGTAAAACCACTGCTTTTTTATTGATAAATATTCAACTAATAATTTCATCTACTTGTTTTTAGTAGATTGAATCGATAGGGATGATTATTATTTGAGTAGTCTTTAGAATAATTTTAAAAATTCAAAATGAAAAAGTATGAAAGAAAGAGAAAAAAATATTTTTTTTAATTTTTCTGCAATTCAACATTTTTTAAAAATTCTTTTCTTTTTGCTTTATCTCCATGATGGTGAAAAAAAATAAAAATGAAAAGAAGTAAAGTTATAATTTAGATTATTTGCCAGCAGTAGGCTGAAATAATTCACTTGCAGCCTGCATATCTTTTTCAGACATACCACCTCTCATCGCAGATTATATTTTCAAAGAGCAATTCTTTTTACTTCCAAATTGCTATTAAAAAATTGTAATTAATATTCTAGTTTAAGAAGTTACAGCAGAAAAGCGTAGAAATCACTTAGAACTTAATGAATTAAAATATTTAATCATTTTCTTAAATAATCACTTCATTAAAATTCCAGATTGACCGAGCACCATTATTCGGTCGACAGCGCTCAAGATCGAGATCACGCTCACGCTCGCGTACACACAACACGACGTCCGATTCCAGTGGAGACGTCGACGATCGTACTTTCAGCGAAGTTATGTACAGTCTGTCAGGAAATCTCGGCGTTACAGGGCGAACTCTTAATGATCGATTTAGCTTTTAAGTAGTGGCGTCGCAAATTCGACTTTATATCGAATTCATTACCAACGATACATTGGTAATTTATCTGTAACGCTAGAAATAAAAAGTAATTTTTGTTTTAACATGTAGACAAAATGCTATTATTTTTCCTTTATTAAGTACGCGTGTGTTATTAATGTCAAATTATACTGTATTAATTAATCCGTTTTCACAAATATCTTATCATTTGCTTTAATCACAAAACTGTAATTAACTTCACCTGAAATATCGCTTCTTCACATCCGTTGTTAATATGTACAAATTATCTTTAGGAAATAGATATTATCGATAGATATTATCATACTTTCACTTGAAGTACATAGTAGTATGCAATTCTTTATCTGTTTTTTATATGTCACACGATTTTCATCTATGTGCAACAACTATATCTATAAAATCTTCATTATTTTTTCATTATACAAATGAAAGAAGACGTTATTTAAATACGCAATTTTGATTACAATTTATTGAAATTTTTACATTTAGTGTGAAAGAAAATTAGCTTAAATGATTACTATTTGTGTATAAGATATAGCGCGTACTTTTCAAGTGTACTTTCTTTTGCTTTGAGAAATATACAAACCTTCGTGATTACTTATCCGTCTTTTTAAATTAATATTGCATTCTAAATGATCTTTAAAATGTAAGTGCGAAATATTAAAATATCTATGTAATTCACATACGTGTACGTACATAGATCACATTTTTTTTATATTTAGCAAGAACTTTGGTTTAGGCTTTAATTTTCAAGATTATACAATACAATTACACATATTCGAATAGAGATTAAATTAATTTTTGATTTATATTCGGATTCAGTTATACAATATAAGAGATTGTTTAATAAATAATCATATATTGCAAAGTAGATTTTATTAAATTATTATTGAAGTGCAGTTTAATTTGTAACGTAAAACATATGTACATACTCAACGTATAACTGAAAGTTGTTGGAACAAAGCTCAAAAGTTTCTCAAATGCGTATCTCGTCTAATTTTTTTTAAATAACATTTATATCACGCATATTCTGATTCGGGCACGTTAATTTTACATCGCTGATTTTATTCATTGTGTTATCCACTTCAGTGGATAATATACAATGCGCATATTTATAATTATATCGTAGGTTTGTAATCGTAATTTTAAAAGTCTGAAGAAGTTTCCTCAAGAAGTGATAACACGCATGCGTCGCTAAATATTACGCAATTGTAGAAATCCATTCGAAAAACGTGGACGATATTTTTACGCGGGTATATATCATAGTGAAAAATGATGAAGAGTGAAGTATCGTCCGAGAATAAATTGCGGTGGTACTTATCGCTATTACAATAAAAAATAAATGAACATAATATACACGCATCGCCTACTCGGTTCAGTGTTGAGTGTCAGTCATACGGATACACACGAAGTGTTCTCGTGAGGATCTTGTAAGTGAATTCAAGTTCATGCAGGATAACTGTCTGTCGAAATTGTAAACAAAACGTCCAATGTGTCGATTTTTGTGGGTATCAATCATGAAACTTTATTCCTAGGATAGAAAGGGAAAAGTGAAAATTTTTACCATTGAAGTTAATGAAGAAAATTTGCACTTTTCATCCTAGGGAAAAAAATTTCATGATTGATATCCTGAAGAACCACTCGCGGCTCGGGTGCTTTTACCTAGTATGGGAGCTTTCCAGCAGAGGCATAAATCGACACAAGAGTCATTCTGTCTTTATTTCTTACTGATTATTGAATAAACACGAGATGACTATTGTATCAATTTGTGTCTCTTGCTGGAACACTCCCTTCATTGATCAATACCTAGTGAGTTTGCTCATTTTTGTAATTTTTACTTTAAAGAATCGTAATAAGCCCCCAAAGTCTGGCCATGTCCTAAAAATGAAGTGCGTGTTCGAAATGTGTGTTTGCTTAATTGGTGATATGAATGCATGTGCGTTCTCGATTAAGGCCATGTTCCAAATTTACTGCCAGTGAAAATACTACAGTTTACGTTACGTGCACTCTAGATTTTCACTACTAGCAGTCAATTTTGGAAATAAGCCTGATACATTGTGTGGGCTCGCCAATCACAAGAGAGGATGGCCAAACTCTGGGTATTCTAAGAACTCTAGAAGTCATTAATTAAGAAGAAAAAATTCAAATTTGTTGATAACTTTACAGGAAGCGTAGGTACTACTGTCGACGATGTACATGCATACGTGTATGTAGTCTAATTTGCGCTTTTGTGCTGTCATTATGTCATTTATATCATCTTCAGTAGGGATGTGTGCGCGAAGAATAAACAAACAGGTAAAGATAAACAATAAAATATAAATAAGAGTTCAAATAAGGCTAATGAGAGTCATATGCTGTTATAAGAGTGGAGAGATAGAAGAAGCAGATAATTCTCAGGTGTTACTGGTTATCTTCAATTTATTTCAAATGTTTCAACTCCTTTATAAATGATTCACCTCAATTTTAAATGACACATCATGTTATACATACACGAATTCTTAGAAGAACAATATATATCTATTATATAGTGTAACTTTTTTAATCAATGTTATAAATGTGAATCATTATTTCTGAGCTTCGTTTTTTATCGTTTCCCATTGAATGTAATGTATGCTACATTTCTGGCAATCTGCAAGTGACTTGCTCTTAATGAAAGATTTATAAGTTTGTATTCACTGAGGAAGACTTCAAAAGAAGCTGAAACATTCGAAATAAATTGAAGATAACCAGCAACACCTGAGGATTATCTGCTTCATACAAGTAATACATCTTAAGAAGATAAATTACTTTATCGTTGAATATAGAATTAAATTATTTATATACAAAATTATATCTTTAATATATATATATAT